GGATAACGATTGCTGTAATCGTTATCATAAAAAGTACGACTACGATGGCAATAGTCGTGGCCGTTAAATTTTAAGGATTTCAACTAAAGTATTGGCAATAAAGCATGTTATAATTACAGTTACAGTGATCGTAATGCTGAAAATTTTCGGGATTACAATTGCAATAATCGTAATCCTAAGTAATCAAAATGAATTCATAATCATAAAGTGCCCAGCTCTGATGTAAATACATACATACATACATACATATATCGGCTATAATGTCATTCTGCTGCAATTGTGCAAATCTGTGTATCAAGTGGCGGACAAAACAAATATGTATGTAAATCAGTCGATTATAATTTAGCTTCATATATGTAAATGTGTTAACTGTTTGTACTTATACATATAGGTACATATATGTATTAACAGTTTCTCTGCCCCTGGGTGTCGTATGCTATATGAACAACTTTGTATCTACTAAAGCGTCTGTGCGTTTTTCGGCGTCTAAACCGTCGTCTGGCCGGTTAGTCTATCTGTTCTGTGCGGCTCCTCAGGCGCATGCTTTGCTTTTGTGCTCATTATTTTATTTACTGCCTGCTTGACATTGAGTCGGCGATAAAGTGTGCGAAAGATCAGCTAAAGTAATTTCGATGCACATTTAATGCTCCGCGCGGTTGGACTGGATGGCTGGCTTCACGTGCCACTCGCGCGTATGTGTGTGCTGCGATGTTGCACTGCAGCTGATGCGTTTACGCATTATGTTGGAGATGAGAAATTTTGGGAAATCCCATCACGTGATGCAAGTTCACAAAAGTATTTTACTGGTGCCGCTACATACTATAGTTTAGTCATTTATACGATAAAATACTCGTATGCTTATGTACATACATATGAATGCATGTGCGAACATACATGGATGGCATTATATTTTATGATATTGTATTATGGAGCATATTTTTTACTTATAAAAAGAAAGTACATATGTACGTATACATATACATACATATATGGGAGTTTTAAAGCTGGTTTCAAAGGTTTAATGGTCTACTATCCAAGATTACATTACCCAAAGTGATGGCCCCAACACGAAAACAAATAAAAAAGTTCTTCTCAGTATGTATGTAGCTATGAAAAAGAACTTTTCTTAAAAACACAATCGCCGTTCGTTGTCGGCGTAAAACTGTAGGTGCCTCCCCTTTGTGTGACAACATCAAGGCGCACGCCGCAAATCGGAGGAAAAGCTCGGCCAAACACTAACACATGTGTAAGCACCAATCTATTATTATTATTATTACTGGAAGTATTTGTGGCTTCGACTAGGTGGGAAGATAATCGAAATATATGTACATAGATCCCAAACTCAGCGGCCAAAATGAGCGTTATTAGAAATAGGGTCGGGGCGCCTCCCAGACAAATTTTCATACAGTGTAGCTCTGGAAGGGTTTGTGGTACAGTATTGGAATTTGGTGAGAGATATATGAAACTTATTTCATACTCATGGAGAAAAACGGACATTAGGACGTCCTATATATACTAAATTTTCAATACGGCTTATCTTTAGAAGTGTTTTTATTTGATAGAGTACTAGAACTCTGTATCAAGTCAGTTCCATACTCATGGAGAAGTATTAGGGCTATAGGAAAAGGGGGCGTGGCAGCCCGATATAAACTGAATTTTTGATACTGTGTGTCTGTGGAAATTTTTGAGTTAGAGTATTGGAACTTGGTATGAAAACTAGTCTAAACTTTATTTCAAAAAAGAGTTTATTAAAAACATTCCTGGCAAATTAAAACAAACAAATACTTAAATACAGTAAAAAAAATGGTTTAAAATCGCAACAACCATAGCTAATCTTTATAATATGTTTGATTATAAAAGATGCACATTTTTTTCAAGCAGTTTCTTTCTGCTTTGTACTCCTTCCAAATGCAAATTTTATATGCAAATAAAATATTGAAAATTCATTAGTATTGCCATCGGCGCTTCGATTAATGAATATAAAGTACATTTTGAAGAAAAAAATAAGCACTTTTCAAAAAATCACGGCTGGTCAATAACCGTCTGGTCTCGAACTGCAGAGACGATAATTCAAAATTAAAGACGTCATAAACACATTTAGAAGCAAAGCCTTAGTCATTCGGCAGCAGCATTGTGCTGGATGGGATACTTAGCGGGATTCCCCAATTAAGCGAGTATTTTGTATGAACTGGTTGGTGGCGTGGTCTAACTTCCTCAATTAAATAAGATTAGCATTTTTTTTTTGGTATTACCACAGAATACGTTAGTGTAGTAGTGCATGTACATACTATGTAGGTATGTGTGTATGTTTGTGCGTTATGTTTACACTTTTGTGAAATACATAAATTTTTTTGCTTTGTCATCGCTCGATTGGGAAATATATATATGTACATATGTGCATACGCACACGCTCTTTGTTATGATTGCTTCACTCTTGGAAAAAATCTATGGCCGATCTGGTTTGTCTTGCGCTATGTTGTACATACATATTGACATAATGACCTTCAAACTAAAGATTTAACGACTGATCAATTTCTCCCCACGCGCAAGTATTTACGTACCAGTATACTTATAATGAAATGTGAACATTTTGAAAGTTTTACATCTCGAAAGTTAGAGGCCTCAATCGCATGAAATTCGAAATGTGTGAACTTAGTATGTGTGACATCCGTCGAAGATGTGAAGTTGGCCAGCCTCAAATGTTTTGGCTCATAGTCAATCAATGATAACCGGTTTTGTGTTGCCAGCCAAAAAACCAAATTGGAAATTAATAAATGAACAGAAGAAGCATACAAAGAAGAAGAAGAAGAAGAAGAAGAAATTAACATGCTGAAGGTTAATTCCGTTCAGTCGAAACGAACAGCAAAATACTGCAAACTGACCCAAGTTGAGCAACGCAAAAATGTAAATACATATGTACAAGTATTTAATGGTGCATATGTACATATGTATTTATATACTGCCTATGTACATACATGAATGTAAAATATTGTAAATACATCTACATATGTATATTTAGTGTTTGCATAAGAGCATACAATAATAATGTATGTATGTATGTATGTATGAACTAATATTGCTTGCTTTTCGCTATGCAATTAGATAGATGATTTGATAATTGCATTCAGTAAGGTGAATAAAGTATGTTATTTGGAAAATGGTTGCTTTGAACATGAACCTATAACAATAGATAGATATGTATGTATGTATGTAATTGTGAATGTACTTTGGCTAACAATCTTCGATCATTGTTAGGGCGTGAAATTATAAATTAATGGATGTGCGCAACGGACAGATAGATAAATAATAATAACGGGTAATCACTGCGACGTAACGGATCTACATATAGTGCCCTCTACTCTTCACAACACTTCGTCTAGTCTTCCAATTCCCAGAAAGCTTAGAAGAGGTTTTAAAGGTAGGGACTATGTGTGCTCATCTTAGGCCCATTGACCCTAAACTCTTTTTTCGAAACAGAATCACACTAAAGGAGCAGTTCCAATGGTGTCTCCTTAACTGAGAGCTAATAGCAACAGAGATCATTTGAACATATCCCCAATTTATCAGATAACCTCTTAGTCTGTTGTGGCCAGTAAGTATGCTCGTGATAATCATCAGTATAACTTTAGGAAGTTTAATTAAAATCATAGATATATCCCTTCAGGTGAAATCCTTTTGTGCTCCGCTGGCGTTGTTCTTTCAAACCTATTATCTCTTCCCTGATCGTTTGTAGACCTACTGCAGGCTTTGTGGTAGTTGACTCCGTTGCCTTTCTGGCTAAACTTAAAGACAAAAGGTGATTCATTCTCAAAGAATTCCGTTGAGGATTAGGGCCAGTGTTGCCATTTTGGTGCTTTTGGAGCTAGATTTAGCTCTTTATTTTTCCATTTAGCTTCGAAAATTGGGTTTTAGCTCCTGGCTCTTTTCTTAGCTATTTTCCAATTTATCTAGCACTTTTTTAGCTCCAGAAAGTTTTAGTTGTATTTGTTTTATGTAAGCCAAAACTTAAGCATTGATAAAATGCCACCACACCACCATAAACTCTTGGATCTAGGTTAAAGAATTCAAAAATTAATTAGAAGAAAATCCTTTTTCTGTTAGCGCGAATTTGGTTTTACCTTACTAATTTTACCTTTAGGGAGAGCTGAAAGTAAAACTTTCCAGACAAATTTTGCGAAAAAATTATTCAATTCAAATTTCTGAAATTACAGACTTAACAGTTGTATTTTTAGTTCACTGTTATAAGTGCCATAGCAACGCATTCGAAATATAAGCCCCTTATTTTGGTTTCAAACGATTTTTCAGCACTTAAACTTATAAAATTCGTTGTTTTTATTAAAAGCGCCGAAAATGTAAAAAGAACCTTACGTCAATAAATGCTCAAACTTTACAAAAATACATATGTTGCTCTGCATTTTAGCTACTATGTATTAGTATTATTTAGCTCCAACCGAAATTTGTATCTGGCAACACTGTTTAGGACTCAGGATAAATGCTCGGTAATTTGCCCTATGCACAGATCCATAGATGCTTGCCTGATACGCCTCTATGATGGAGTTGTTTTAAATTTCTACTCAAAAACAACTGCCTTGTTTATATCAACTCTCGAGAAAAGGGATGTTATGTTTGCAAAATTATTAAAATAGCACTCCTGAACTTAATTTTGTGTACACATATTGTGATATCCGTAGTAGTATTACGCTAAACTCTAAAAATCCGGCTTATGGAGTTTGCACTTAAAATTCCTCAAAAAACATATGTATACTAGAGCGGTAAAGCAAAATGACTAGCTCACTTCCTATTCATTTTTACGGATTGACTTAGTAAAAGCATCACATTCCAATTTAATCACCCAAATTAGCATATTGACTCGTCATGCACCATATGAAGAGGTAACTATGTATGTACATAAATACCCATTGCTTACGCTCATAGTGATGACTGCATTTGTAGTCAAATTCAATGAACGGTGTATTCTCACGCAATCAAAATGTCGCACATGGTAATTGAATTGACAAATTTTGTTAAAAAGTTAGCATGCAAATATGAATATTCAATGAACACAATGCACCAATTTAAGGTGATAAGAAAACAGTAAAAGCATTTGTGAAGAAAAAATAAATACGGTACTTGAGGAATGGAGGAAGTGTTCATAAATTTTTAAATTTAGTATTTGGTCTAGTGTATTTGTTGTAGTCTATTTGTGGTATACTGGAGTACTTACAAAAGTGGTGCTCTGTCATGGCGTAACAGACCAACTCGTGTCTCTGCACCAGCTGCACCACCCGACAACTTCTCGTGTTTAAACGAAATGTGATTGAAGTTGAACATTTGAAAGCACTTTTGCAGGATGATTTAATTTTACATATCGTCGCCTGGGTAATAGATTGTCGTAAGCGTCATATGTGCGTGCGTAACATACGACAATCTTTTACCCAGGCGACTATATGTATTTACATACATATATGCATGTACATTAGAACGCCTACGAAATGTATGGGATATGCGAAACTCTTAAATCATTTCGCTCCCCGAACACTTTATTCGGTAACTATTACTATGTATATCCAGGGTAAATTCCATTTCCTAAAGTCCAGTAATAGTTAGGGGTTAGTATGTGCTTACGGCGTTAATTAGTACATGAGTGTCACATATGATTATTCCAGTAAATTAAGATTTGACTTATAAAATTTTTCAATCGATTGGTTAACTGAGAAATAGTCAGCTCTATCGTCAACTCCACGTAAAAAAATTGTTCCCATAATTTAACAGGCACACAAAATATATATTGGGAAAATTCTTTACGCTTTCCTTTTTAATTTTTGGGAATATTTGTTCACATCGAACTCGCAATAAGGCGAAATTAGTCACCGAATCAGCCCTGCAAAAAATACTTGAATTATGAAATCATTTTCCTAAATTTTCTCCAAGTCCTTTGTCTTGTGTATATGTTACCNGATATGTATTTATGTACATACATATATGCATGTACATTAGAACGCCTACGAAATGAATGGGATATGCGAAATTTTTAAATCATTTCGCTCCCCGAACACTTTATGCGGTAACTATTACTATGTATATCCAGGGTAGATTCCCTTTCCTAACGTCCAGTAATAGTTAGGGGTTAGTATGTGCTTACGGCCTTAATTAGTATATGAGTGTCACATATGATTATTCCAGTAAATTAAGATTTGACTTATCAAATTTTTCAATCGATTGGTTAACTGAGAAATAGTCAGCTCTATCGTCAACTCCACGTAAAAAAATTGTTCCCATAATTTAACAGGCACACAAAATATATATTGGGAAAATTCTTTACGCTTTCCTTTTTAATTTTTGGGAATATTTGTTCACATCGAACTCGCAATAAGGCGAAATTAGTCACCGAATCAGCCCTGCAAAAAATACTTGAATTATGAAATCATTTTCCTAAATTTTCTCCAAGTCCTTTGTCTTGTGTATATGTTATCGGCCAAACTAGTTTGGTCTAGGCTAAACTGGGTCATGCGGGTGGATGAATCGGATGTAGGTATTAATAATAATAGATTGGCGCTTACACATATTTAGTGTTTGGCTAATTTAGTGGTAGAATTAATTAATTTAGTTATCTTATGAAATATTAGTTTGTTCTAAAATCGGGTTTGGCCCGTAAGATACATATATTTATTTACATGTGTTTAAAGATGTTTGAATTTGAGTGTTTACATTAGCTAAGATTCTAACTTCACATTCAGCTAAATATGTAAATATGTTCCCCTCAACACAAGATTTGGTAACTATTACCGAAAATTGTAAATATTACCAAATCATGTTTGAGTGAAACTTATTTAATTGACGTAACTAAACTATCTCTAAACACACTCAAATGTACATTCATTCCCATTCCCGTTTCAGCTTTCTTTATGGGTGGTGTTGCTGGTTTTGGCGTAACTGCTGGTGCTCATCGCTTCTGGACCCATCGCTCGTACAAGGCCAATGTGCCATTGCGTAGTATATTGATGATTTGCTTCTCTGTTGCCGGACAGGTATTTAAATTATAATTAAGTGCTCTGACTGTACTCAGGTCATTTCATATCAATTTAGTGTAGGACAAAGTACATAGTACACATGCAATTTGTACAAATTTAAATATATATCGAGGGCTTATATTCAATACCCTCTATCTGCACTTTTCACAAAAATGAGATTCTGATTTAAAAGCTCACCTAAGCCTTAACTGGCATCGGTAATGTTAATGCTGACCTTTAACCACGCTTGGCGGAAGAATTTACTATTAAATTGCAAAGTCAGAACTAACATCAGTGATGACAGGCAAGTCCCAGATGGGTTCTATTATCACAAAGTAGTTTTTGTGAAAATTAGAGATAGATTGTATTGAATATAAGCCCTCGATATGTAATTATTAAGGCTACATACGTAATGTACATATGTATAACGTTCGCGTTTTGAGCCTCTTTCATTCACCTTTGAAATCAATCAAACTCGAGTCCTTTCTTATTTCTTCTCATTCAGAACACTCTGTATGATTGGGTACGCGACCATCGCGTGCACCACAAATACTCCGAAACTGATGCCGATCCACACAACTCGAATCGTGGTTTCTTTTTTGCTCATGTCGGCTGGCTGATGATGCTGAAGCATCCCGAAGTTTTACGCCGCGGTCGGCAATTGGATATGAGTGATGTGATGAACGACCCCGTTGTTCAGTTCCATCAAAAGTACTTCATTCCTTTGAAAATCATGCTTTGCTTTGTGCTGCCCACCATGGTGCCAATTTACTTTTGGGGCGAGGAGTTCTACCTAGCCTTCATTACACAATGTCTCTTCCGTTACGTCTGCAGCTTGAACTTCACATGGTCGGTCAATAGCGCCGCCCACATGTATGGCACGCGTCCCTATGACAAGTGAGTCGTTAGTCGCCCATAAATGTTTCAAATTATTAAATATACTATCACTTATAAAGATTGTGGCCTAATGTTTATAACCTTTACTTTTTGGTTCTTTTTTCTAGTCGTATCAGACCAACCGAAAATATCTATGTCTCCATCATCGCCATGGGAGAAGGCTGGCACAACTATCATCATGTCTTCCCTTGGGACTACAAAGCAGCTGAGCTTGGCAACTACCTGGGCAACTTTACCACAATGCTGTTGGATACATTCCATCGCATCGGCTGGGCTTGGGATATGAAGGAACCGTCGAAAGATTTGGTGCGTCGCGTTATTGAGAAATATGGCGATGGCACACATCCATCGAATGAGAAGACAGCCGAAACTCCATCAGTGGGCCATTTCCATTACTCGGAGGTGCCCGATCCAGAATTCGAGGCTTCCGATGCGGAATCTAGCAGCACGGAGAGCACCAAACTGGACGAGAATGAGAACTTGAATAAGAAGGTGCAAACGTAGAATCGAATAAATGGTTGCCACTTTGACAGGGTGACTATCAACTTGGGTTAAGTGAGCGGGAGACGTCGGAGCTCATAAAAATTTGGACGTGTGGCTGTTTATTTTTCTTGTAATGCGTAACTAAAGGGGCGATTAATTAGTACTGGGTGTATTGTCAACATACATATACGTATATATAAGTTTAAAGAATATATAATATATATTTACTAAACTTTAGTCATACCTGGATCAAAGTTGAATAATTATTAACTATAATTGCGGTGAGCGGACTTCTGAATATAGGACACTTCAAATCACATAAAAATGAGTGTGTTGATGTCTGCTAATAAATAAAGGAAAAAGTAGGATTAAGTAAAAATGTGGATTATCAAATTTCGCAAGAATGAAAGAATGTAGTGACAGCAGATAAAAACTTTAACTTTCAAAAAAAAAAAAAACTTTGTTTACTGTTTTGAAACAACACAAAATGGGATAATTGTGCAACAAGTTATTTACAATTAGTACATAATTTAAGTCAGCAGTCTCAATTTAAAGTCGTCTAATAATATTAAATATAATTGTAATAAGTGTCTTTGTCCTGGGACCAATTATTATGTAAAAGTGCAAACAAAAATAAAAGTAATAAATACATATGTATAAAATTAAAAACAAAACCTTTTAAATCAAAACGATGTCGTTTTATTGGAAATATGTAAGTATTTTCTAACCTTATTATATTTAAAACTACTATGTGGGGTTCTCCAGGTAATCAATTAAAACCTCGTATATAAAAATTTGTTCAACACAAGAGGCTAAATCTAATTAGTACAGTTCATTGCTTCACTATTTATTAAACTTCTGTCTTATGGTATATAAAGATTACAAGATACATCTTAATTTACCCACATAATTGCGCTCGCTTAATTGATCTTCCCTCATAACTGGCAGAAATAATATGTTACGACGGAAAGAAGATAAATACTGTAGGTGCTTTGAGTACGAACAACCCCCTCCGCCTCCAAAAAAAAAAAAGATTTAGTAATAAATGGCAAAGAAATGGGAACCACTTCCTTCATTTTTTATAAGCCATTTCAACTAAATATTTAAATAAAGATAGACATTCTGTTAAGTTTTAAAATTGTAATGCATTCCACCGCCTGCCTGTATTGTGGGAGAATAGAAAATGTCGTTTTTTCCTTTATTTTTTATTCCTTAATTCAGGGGTTTTTGCTTCGCTCATGATGGAAATGTCACCTTTGACAAATTGAGAGCTAATTATTAGAGGATTTCCTTCACGGGAGAAACAAATGCCCGGAGAAGCAAAACGACGCTATGCACTTTTGCTCTAGCAAAGTAAGCAAAAGATATCAGATTAGTAATTTTAATAAAGGCTTCAAATTCGCAAAAATTTAAAATGATTCAAACAAGTAATCTTCCTCTTTTTCTTATTTGGCGCTGTAGCCGACTACGAGATTTTGGCCGATTTCAACAAAGCACGCCAGTCGTTTCTTTTCTGTGCCAACTGGCACCAATTGGAAATACCAAGTGAAGCCAAGTCCTTCTCCACCTGGTCTGTCCATCTCAGTGGGGGCGTTCCTCTTCCTCTGCTACCACCAGCGGGTTCCGAGTTGAATACTTTGAGAGCTGGAGCGTCGGTGTCCATTTGAAAGACATGGCCAAGCCAGCGGAGCCGCTGTATTTTAATTCTCTGCACTATGTCCATGTCGTTCTAAAGCTCATACAGTTCACCGTTCCATCGTCTGCTTTCTCTCCTTTCACCTTTTTCTCGAACACTCCAAGAGCCGCCTAATCGGTTGTTGCCATTGTCCATGCTTCTGCGCCATATACCAGCAGGGGCATGATGAGTGACTTATACTTGTTGGCAAGAGTGATTCTGCGTTGGATTTCCATACTGACATTATTATTGATGTTAATGGCGGTTCCCAAGTAAACGAAATTCTTTACTTTCTCGAAAATATAACTTCCAACAGTGACGTGGGTGCCAAGGTACGAATGTGCCTTTGTGATGATAGGAGATACTTCGTCTGGTCATCGTTTACCACCAGACCCCTTCGTTTTGCTTCCTTAACCAACTTGATAAAGGCAGAACAGACTTCGCGGTTTTTGTTACCGATGATCTCGATGTCATCGGCATAAGCCAGCAATTGCACGCTCTTGTAGTAAATTGTTCGTGAGCGATTTATTTCTGCAGTTCTTATTATATTCTCCATCATCAGGTTAAAGAAGTTACATGAAAGGCAGTCGCCCTACCTGAAACCCCGTTTGACGGCGAACGGCTCGGAGAGGTCTTTCCCAATTCTGACGTAGCTAGTCGCATTGCTCAACGTCATTTTATATAGCCCTATCAGTTTGGCGAGGTTGCCAAATTCTGACATAGCCGCGTATAGGCAACTCGTTTTAGTTCTGTCGAAAGCGGCTTTAAAGTCGATAAATAGGTGGTGACTGTCGATCCTTTTCTCATGAGTCTTTTAAAACATTTGGCGTATTGTGAATATCTGGTCTATGGTGGATTATCCCGGCCCAAAGCCACTCCCTCATCATCGACTGGGGGCTCGCGTTCTTCTTCTCCACAACTTTCCGTACTGCCACCATTCAGTAGGCTGGAAAAGTATTCCCTCCATAATTTAAGTACGTTCTGAACATCGGTAACTAAGTCGCCATTGTTGTTCTTACAGGAGTACGCCCGGGCCTTGAAACATTCCGTAACTCGTCTCGTCATCTTTTGTCTTTGACACTCCTCGTCGTACCAGTTGTTTTTTATGCTTGCTGAAATCCGACTACATCTTCGGTGGCGGTTCTTAATGAGCGGGAAATGTAGAATACGTGGTTTGGTTAAGAGCACATCCAAGTCAAAAACGAAAGCACATATTTGCTAAGAAAAAGATATCGATAACTAAAGCAGTAATAATATAAAAAATCGATAAAAAAAATCTATGAAAACATTGAGAACAAAATCGATAATAAAATCGATAAGAGTATCGATAACAAAATAGATTACAAAAGAGTAAAAAAATCTATTAAAAAATCAACAAAAAAATCTTTTAAGATATCTTTAACAAAATCGATAAAAAATATCGTTTATTTATCGATAAGCTCCGAAAAATTGGTTAGCAAAATCAAAAGCAATATCGATAATAATTTCGATAACAAAATCCGTAAAAATATTGATAACAAAACCGATGAATTATCGATTATAGTATCGATAGTTCCCGATAATCCCGAAAATCTCTAAAATCCCGAAATAGTCCCCAGATTGAGAGTCTGTGTCTCTATACAAATCTATTCATATGCATATTCCCCTTCACCTTTGCCCTTATATAAGTAAAGTGTTCAAATTTACCTAAGTCTTCATTTTTGCCTTTATCTTTACGCATCTTTGTTTTAGCTTTTGTTTTTAACTCTGCCTTTATCCCTTTATTTATATACATATGTACGTACTCATCTTTACTTTCATTCTTGTATTGTTCTTTTTCTAAGTGTTATTCTTTAACATTTTATTAGCAAGTTTTTGTTAAATTAATACCATGTGCAAACACAAAAAGAAGCGCTAAAGCGTTTTACTTCAAAAATTTTTCGCGTATTATGCAAACATGTGTTTATATATGTAATATTTAATATGTATGTACATATTTATATACACAGATTACTAAAAGAGAAGCAGATCCCCATTTACTGCAATTAACATATGTACGTATGTATGTATGTATGTATTTACATACATATATGTATACGTTGCGATTTGGTTATAAATATTGCGCCATCTGTTAATCGAAAGCCGCATTACCTACATACATACATACTTTTTCTCTCCTTCTCACACTTCCAGCGCAAGCACGTGTTCGCAAAATGATGAAGTAATTTTGTATGGAAAATCGGAAAATCATTTATGCCCATATATTTGTATCAAATAAACATACTTAGAAGATATCCAGTACCAGTACTTCCCATACACCAAACGAAAGGAACAATCTTGAATTTTTAATTAACAAAAACAAAATCATTCGAGCGGTTTTCAAACATTTTGGTAATAAAAAAAATTTGCAAATCTTTTCTAAAATATTGATTGATGTTATATAAAATTTGTACATGATAATATTTCTATTGCTCCAAAGAATCTATATCCTGAAAATGAAAGTTTTATCTGCAAACCATAAGTTGCTAGAGCACTTTAAAGGCCCCAAAATAATCCAATATTTACCGTTGTTTCTACCACAGAAACCGAACTGGTTACTTATCAAAAAGGAATGTGTCGATAGGTTTTGAATTTTATCTTTGAAACGGCACACTTTTATTTTTTNTCACTTTAAAGGCCCCAAAATAATCCAATATTTACCGTTGTTTCTACCACAGAAACCGAACTGGTTACTTATCAAAAAGGAATCTGTCGATAGGTTTTGAATTTTATCTTTGAAACGGCACACTTTTATTTTTTCAGATCGCTTCATTAGTTCTCGTGCAATAAGCGTTTTTGTAAAGCTCTAAAAATTACAACTACAACATTAGAGCATAGCCTCCATATCGAAACGTAAGACGTATCCAACGTCAAAAAATGTCGAAAGACCAACGCCAGGTTTTACAAATAGCACTTTGTATTTACAAAATATGCAAAAGCCATCAGTATTAAAGATTAGCGCAGTTTTTAGCCGCTTGCAACTTGCACTTTATTATACTAAAATTATGTACATAAGCAATTAAACTGCATACCTAAAAATGTTCTAAATATTCAGGTTAAAAGTTAAATTTTGAAATATGTAAAGAAACATAAAACAAATTCAAATTACATATTAATGTTTGCATATTTGGTTTGATAATGACTCGACATAAACAAAAACAATGGGTAGGTTCGAAAGGCGCAGCAGTTGAGCGCAACTGTTGCTAAAAAAATCAGTGATTGTAACGCATGTTCTGAACGGCTTCATACATTATCTGTCAAATTCACAACACACAATATATTGTCTCAAATGATCAGGAGACTATTACGATCATCTGACACGGAACTGTTCAGCTGATCAGAAGTACAAAACAACGCATTCAGAAGGCGCAATCGCAACAGTTACCGAGCTGTTGCGCCTTCTGAACATGCCAAATGCTTCGCATAGAGGCACAGGTATGCTAATAAAATCTATATATAAATAAATAGAAATAAAATGGAGGCTTATACTTACATATGTAGTTAAAAGTGCCAGTGAGAAGCAATACTATCCCACTGACAATAACTATTGTGTATCTATGTATGTAAGTCTGTGTATGTGCAAACTCCATTTTAGAAAGAAATCTAAAATACATACATAGATTACATATTTGCATACACATCTAAATTTGAATTGTTATCTTGGTTCGAATTAATTAGTTAATTTATAAAGTTGCCGGCCAAACTTGGCAACAGAAAGTACCTGCGCAGCTGCGGTTGGGAAGTCCCATTATTATATTCGATTAATAGATTTGCATATACATACATATATGTATATATGTAAATATGTGTGTGTGTGTATGTACTTATGTATGTATTTCTGTATTCAAATGCCTTTTTCAAGAACATGAACCAGGAGGAATGCGCCCAAATCTCACAGTGAACGTACATACATTATTAGATAGCTACATATGAACATACATACATAATATATTA